AAAAAAAAAAAAAAAGATGTAAATATACTAATACATTGTGTTAGTTTTTTTAGGTAGGGCTATAGCCCACCCAAGCCCCAATGTAGCTACGCCCCTGTTTATCTATGTATAGCTATCATATTTAATTTGGTGCTGTGAAAATGAAATATTTAACCTTATTAAAACTGCACTTAGTTAGTGATGTTACGTGGAATTAGTACAATCAACTCATGTAAAGATCTATTCAATTTCTTCTTACTTAACAACAAAGTTAGTTAGGTAAGTTGTCAATTTTTTTTATTTTTTTTTTATTTTTTTTTTATTTTTTTTTATGTTGCCTCAAAAATCAACCTTAGTGGCTGAATTTTTTTTTTTTTTTTTTAAATCATAGTTAATTTTAAAAAAAAAGTTGGTATAGTTAATTAGTAGGGTTTACTATTTCTTATTAAGAAGAGGAAAGGAATTAGAATTGCTAAGATAAGAATTCTTTCAGATTGATCGGAACAAATAAATGGATTATATTCAAATTGAGTCTTGGGCTAATTCCATCCACATACAAGATGTAAAATTAGTATATGAAGAGAATAATGCAGATTGATTTGTAGAAACTAAAATCTTTAATGTAAAAGTATGAAATAAATGATTGTAAGTGATCATATGTGGTTAAAACTAGGTGAATTAATAAATAGTGAATTATAATTGATGCGATATTTAAAGATAATTAATTATATTATTTAATTATATTAATAATATTGAATATAGTAATGTTGAGGTTAAAATTGTATTAGATTTTAAGTTGAGATTGAATTATTTCAAGGAAGCCTCCAGCCAAAAAAAAAATAATAAATAAGTGAACAAGAAAAGTAAATATTTTTATTATTCACCAAACAAATTAATGAAAACAAACGTGTAAAGAGATTATACCCTTTCAATTTTTTTTTTTTTTTTTAATTATTTTGGGCATAGGTGGGGGGAAGTTACTTCATATACTTAACTATTTTTCAATTAAAATGACAACAACAATGAAAAATGACAAAGAAAAATAAGAAAATCAAACACCCTTCCCCAAAAGACTCATCATCTCATGTCCTTTTTTTTTTTCAACATCAATCCCTCATTTGAGAAGCTCCATGATCCATGAATTGTAAGCACAACAAACTTTGTTAAACCCTTTAAAGCCAGCCCCTTTAGCCAGGGCCTGGAATTCCTTTTCTGTCCTTTCTTTTCCGCCCGGGTTATGGGCCAACATTATCACATCGATATGGACCACATTCTTCGTGGCAAGCCCGGTATCCGGAGCCTCCGGCAGAATGCACTCGGCCAGGATTACTTTCCCGTTTTCTGGTAGGGCTTCGTAGCAATTTTTCAAGAATTTCAGGCAGTGCTCGTCACTCCAATCGTGGCAAATCCACTAATAAAATGACATGCGGTTTAGCAAACTTAATTGCATTAACATAAATTTCGGCGTAATACACACGTATCACTATCATATTACTTTACCCATCACATTACCTTTAAAATTAGCAACTACTAAATTCATATATATATAAAAAAAATCATTATTATTTGTCATTCTTTAATTAATGTCATTTCATCATGTCAAATTAATTTATTTCTTTGTAGAAAAAGCTCACCTTCATGAAAATAGCATCTCCTTTAGGTACACTCACAAACATGTCACCACCAACATGCTCAATGCCTGCACACAAGAAAAATGTCCTCACTTATTGATTTCAATTGAAAGAATTCAACCATAAAAATGATGAATAGAATTGAAAAGAGATAATAAATTAATGTCCACTAATAGTATAGTCCAATTAAGAATGCTTTCACATTTTAACCAATACAAAGATGAAAGTGGTATATTCCTCTTTTGACTTTGCTAATTGGCTTAATTTGTCCACACTTTTCTACACCTATTGTAGATTGTAATTTGGAAAAAAAAAAAAAAAGTACGGAATCTATACT